AAAAAAGGGGAATGGGAATATGGGAATATAGCTCACTATGAAGGCCCTGGATTTAATATTTAAAAAAACCCATGGAGGTATATGCCTATAATTCCAGCATGCAGGAGGCTGAAGCAGGAAGATCCCTGAGAGTTTGAGGTGAGCCTGGACTACGTAGTAAGTTCAGGGCAGCCTGAACTACATGGCAAGACCCTATCTCAAAACAAACAAAAAAGGAAAGCTCTGGAAGTGCTTATGTGTGTGTCAGTGCTTGTGTGTACTGTGACTTGCGAATGCTACAAGAGTAAGCTGCCCAGGACTCCACAGCGAGCACTAAGGAAGTCCAGGTCTGGAGCTCTCCCAGATGCATATGCCACTACACACTACTTCCCTTGGCCAATCTTACTGTGAATCCATGCACTGCAATAAACTGCAACTACCATGCTCTGTTTTCAGTGTACTAAGTCCTTCTGTTATTGGTTTCTAGGGTGCCAGACTCTCCTTTTAGAGGTGTTGTCTGGGTCCTTTCTACATAGCAAGGGTTTTGTTGTTGTTGATTCGAAATAGGGTTTATATCGTTCAGGCCAGCTGTGAACTCACTATGTAGAAAGAACCTAGTGTGCTGCATAGTGAATGCAAAGCCAGCCTGAACTACACAGAGACACTATCTCAACAATTAAACAAATACATAGAAAAACAAAAGATGTAAGAGGATGGGCTATGCCAACACTTCACCATGATTCAGCAGAGGGCAAGGTGCAGGTTTTGAGAGTTATGTATTTGTGATATGCAATGAAATCAGTTAATGAAAAAAAAAATCAACAATGAATCATGGGATTAGGAATGAAGAAATCAGAACTAACCAACCCTACAGCAATGGGTGTAGGGCAGTCTGGAAACTACTTAGCCATTATTTGCTGACTATCATCATTCCCTTTCCAGAGTTCACTTTTGGGAGCTGTTAGAGGAAGCCCCTAGGAACCTCTGCATGAAGTTCTTAAAAGTTATAAATCAGATAGTGCAAACTATCCTTTGGTGACTTCTTTTTGTCTTTTTTTTTTTTTTTTTCTCTTTTCTCTCCCTCCATCTCTCAGGCTTTTAAAAACACTGTTGTTTTTAATAATAAAACCACTCCATTACCAAGGGGTTAAGACCAGAGACATGGCTTCTGGCTGCCTCTTGATCCCTATTTCTCCCTTTTCCTCAGACTTCTGTCTTTCCTCAAAGACCTCAAAGTCTTTCACACCTCAAGGCCTTTGAATAGATGGCAGATTTCTCTGGTTTTAATTTATCCTCCAGGTATCTGCTTAAATGTTTAACCTTAGGCTGGGGAGATAGCTCAGCAGTCTAAATGCCTGCCTGGCAAGTGCAAGGAACCGAGTTCAATCCCCAGTAACACACGTTGTGTCAGCCACTGAGTCTGGACCTGGTGGTGCACGTCTGTAATCCCAGTGCTGGGGGGGCTGAGACAGGAAGATCACTATCTGAACTGCACAGTGAGACCCTGTAATAAATAAATAAATAAATAAATAAATAAATAAATAAATATTTAAACTTTCCTTGACTAGGCTATCCCAATGACACCCTGCAATTCTCACGGCATCCTAATCTTTTCCAGGGATAACATGATCACCATTGATGATGGTCTGTTCCTCTGTTTTCTGCATTGTCACACAGCTCACAGGTCTGCCCCCAGGTCCTGCTGCACCCATGGTACCCTCTAAACATCTGCTCAGTGCTGGAATTCCCACTGCTTCTCTAGCATGCAAAGGCCCAGCACCCAGGAGGATTTTTTTTTTTTTTTGGGGGGGGGAAGGGTCTACAAGGCGTTCAGGGTCTCACTACTAGATCGGACTTGTAGTGACCCTCCTGTTTACAGCCTCCCAAGAGCTGGAATTACAGGCACACACCACCATGCCCAGTCTCAACTGCAGTCTCAGCGCCTGCGCACCCCTCACCCCGGGGTCTGGGGATGGAATCCCTTGCCCCTGGGCCTGCTTGCAGGTGCTTTAATCCTCTGAGCTATTTGGCTGACCCTCCAACAGGGGTTTGAACACAAGAACCTTCTACAGATGCCCAGCAGTGTTGTGTGGGAATCTTCTCAGACCCCAGGGAATAGACATCAGTGTGTGGGCAGGCTGACTCCTCCTCCTTGGCATGACTCTGTCCATGTCATGAATCCCCCAAATCCAAGACCCTCCTAATGCCAGTGGAGAGCTGGGTGGGCGGCTGCTTCCAGCCTAGGACAGGTTTTGTCCTTTTTCTGATGGGGGCGAGTGAAATTGGTTTGATGAAAATGTCAGAGTATAAAAACAGTGTAGCAATTCAGTCTTGATTGCTGCCATTTGAAAGGAATGAATGTGGGATGAACCGAAAAAACAAAATCCTAATGAAAAGCAAAACAAAAACACCCTACTGTTTTAGAATCTGCTTCAGAAACAAACAACCTCATTGTTTTCTGTGTCATAATAAAATTAAGGACTCGCCTGATCTTTGTTCGAGGGTGACTGGTCCACAGAGAGGCTGGTCTCTGGGTAACACTTCTGCAGCTGCCAGAAAGTACCTCTCCTGACCACAGCTAGTGTGGCAGGTAAGGTGGGGGAGGGCAAGGAAGGACCTCAGGTGCATTGGGAAGACGGGCTGAGTGTCCATTTGAGTGGGAAAGCACTGAGTCAGCATCCACCAGAGATATTTTCACCACCCCTAGGTCTTGTCACTTGCTTCAAACCTTCCAGGCCTTAAAAGAAATGTCAAGTGCTCTTACCACCTTTGTGAACTGAATAATGACCACCTGAAGATATTCCATATCCTAATCTTTGGAGCTTGCAAATTTTACCTCCTAAAGAAAAAGACTCGTCTCCCCTCCCCCCATGCAGTGCTGGCCCCGCCCTGGGGTTCTCAGTCACTGTTCAAACAGTGACTGAGACTGGGCTTGGTGGTGCTTGTCTGTAATCCCAGCGCTTGGGAGGCTGAAAACAGGAAAATCACTAGTAGTCTGAGCTGTGTAGTGAGACCCTGTAGACCCTGTACTAAATACATTAAAAAAAAAAAAAAAGTCTTTACAGATGAAATCAAGTGAATAAATTAAGATTCTTGACTGGAGGAGACTACTTGGGATGACCCTAATCCGGCCACAATGTGTCCATATAAAACAGGCTTATCCACACAGATTTTATGCATACAGAATCGAGGGACAATATGTGCATGGACACTGTGAGGTCACAATGGAGGAAGCCAGCAGCCACTAACAGAAGCTGGGGGGTTTTCCCCTAGGGCCTCCAGAGGGAGGGTGGCCCTGAGGACACCCTGATGTGGGCTCTATGGGACTGACTGCAACAAATAGCTGGTCTCCTGAACTATGAATAAATTTCTGTTAATTCTAAGCCACCCTTGACACAGCAGCCCTAGGACACTAATGCAACCATCTATGTGGTCCTGTATGGCCCTTCCCTGCCGCTGCAGGGGCCAACCTCTCCCTCCTTCTGCCAGGGACCTTCTTGCTGTTCCTCAAGCTGCATGGCTTCATGATTTTTAAGACCATCACGCTAAGCTCCCCTAGATCTTCCCAAGGGCCGCCTGGACTTAAGTTCAGGTGTCTGCATACCTCTTCCTTATATGGGTCTTCCTGGGCCATATACAGGTGTTCAAGGCCAGCCTGCACTACAAAGTGAGCCTGGCTCTCCAACCTGCTCCCCCATCTCTTCCTGGTCTCTCACAGTCACACCCTTTTGTTATTTTAGCCCCAGCATTTTCCCGGTTTATTTTTCCTCCCTGGTTTATAACTTGGGACTCCCAGGAGAAGGGGACCCCATGAAGGCCTTCTTTAGCTGCTCCCTGCTGTCTCCCAGGGGCTGGAGAGACCTGACATATAGGAGGTGCTGAGCAAACATAGGTTGAGGAATAAATGCACGAAATATCTGTGCAAGCATCTGCATGCGCACACACGTGTGTTAGTTTTCGGGTGCGTACGAAGCGCTGAACCCATTGGCCCCGCATGACCGCTCATCTTCCGATGGCACTTCCCTTTGCAGAATGGCAGCAGCTTTCTATGTAATATTTACTTTCTTCCCCACAGCTCTGCAGACCTCCGTATGGCAGGTGAGGAGACTTTTGAGCATCTCCTAAACTCTGTATGTAGAGTGAACCTTGCAGCAACTGCCATAAAATGACTTCCAAGTCTACCGCGTGCTCAGGTTATCCAGATCCCTGCCCAGTACTCAGACTTGTGCAGCAGACACCAGCTTTCTGTCTAGAGAAGCGTCGTGTTGCCCACCTGCACAGATCCTCGGCCGCGTTCTGGAGAACGGTCCACGCGGGGAGCGGAGGACCCAGCACAGAGGGCGTGGAGATGCACAGCACAGCCGAGCTGACCCGGACCTCATTTTCAGCCTGTGGGAAGCAGCCGCGGCGGCTGGGGAACCTGCAAAATCTTGCGGCGCGGCGAGGCTGGGGTTAAAGGGGCGGTGCTCACGACGGGGCGGGGCCGGGCGGGCCGCACCTGGCGCCCCGGCTCTCCGGCGGACGCTGAGAGCACAGTGTTCATTGCGGGAGTCGGAGCCCGGGAGGCAGAGGCGCCCGACCCGCACCCACGGCCGGAGGGCGGCGGCTCGGCCGGAGCAACTCGGGAGCGAGCGAAGCCGCTATGGCGGAGTTCCCGTCGAAAGTGAGCACGCGGACCAGCAGCCCCGCGCAGGGTGCGGGTGCCTCGGCGTCTGCACTGCGCCCGGACCTGGGCTTCGTGCGCTCCAGCTTCGGGGTTCTCATGCTGCTGCAGCTGGTGAGCCTTCACGGGCCCGCGGGCTGGGGTGGGCGGTGTATGGTCTATATCTGGGGTGGCGGGGGCGACTTGGAGCAGCGCCCCCTCTTCGCACCCAAAACCTTCCTAGCGTAGGTTCCCGGCTCCCGACGCGCCTTGCTCACCTTCGGGCGCTTCCAGGATGGACACCGCCATCCCCCTGAGATCTTCTCACCACGGGCGCCTCTGTTGCAATCCCTGTTAGTACAGGCACTGGGCACACGTGATCCGGGTGCTCGGTTCCAGTGGTCACCACGGCCACACAGGAGCACCCACAGAGCTGCAAGTCACTGCGCATATCTCTGACCCTATGGGTCTGTCTCCTTCCCTGCCCCCTTTCGTCCAGGACAATCTCCAGCCCGCCAGGGAACCCAGGCCAGGGCAGAGTCCACTCTTGGCCCTCACCTTCCCGGCTCCGGCGGCTCCCGGCTCCGGAGCTCTCCAGTTCCAGCTGGAGCGTACACCGCGCCCCGCACGCGCGCCCAAGAACGGCCCCGAGGGCTCCCGCGCGGCGCGCCCACTGGCTCCCTCTGGGTGACCTGCCAGGTGGCAGCCGGTTTGGCCGGCCCCGCGGATCGAGCAGTATCGCGCCCTGAGCCGAGGGAGGGAATTGTGGAAAGGCAATTAGGAGCGTTAGAGTCGAGACTCCTAACGCTCCCCTATTCTACTGGACTCCAATGGACTCTGGCAGCGGAGGCGGAGGAGAGCGAAGGGAACACGCCCTTCCTCCTTCAACACCAGCTTGGGGCAGGGGGTATTAGGTTTTGTCCCGTGGAATCCTCTGTGTTCCCTACCACTAGCTGAAGGCCGGGTCCCTCTTCAGCGCACTAGGGTGGACTTTGAAGTGGGCTTGGATCTAGTTTCCATTACCGTCCAGCGAGTGGGCCTTACTGCTGGGTGCTGGCCAGGATGCCAAGCCCAGGTTGGAGTTGGACGGTCACCGCAGTGCCAAGTCCAGCCAAGATGAGGTGTTCTCCCGCTCCCGCAGGGAAGCGCCCACCTCCACCCCCATCCATCCTTAGATCCCTTGCGTTTCCCTTTTCGGCCTCCTCCCCCACCGCAGCCGGAGAGCCGAGGTGTCTTCCGGAGAGTTTGTTTAAAATGCGGATGCTGGACCCCACCCCGGAAAAAAAAATGAATTTTTATTTGAATCTCAGGAAGTGCAGCCAGAAATCTACTTATTTAACATATTTAACTCGTGCCCTAGAGTGGAGGTTTTTTGGTGTTTTGTGTTTTTGGGGGGGTTTTTTGTGGTGAGACTCTGTCCTGTGGGGGGGGGTGACACTCTTGGGGGACTAATTTAAATCTGCTGGTGGGTGCTGGGGCTGTAGCTCAATGGTAGAGCACCTGACTAGCAGGCGGTAGTCCTGGTGTCCCCTTCCTCCGCACCTCAAAAACAACCCTGTAGGGGCAGGTGGGGAGGAGCTACTGACCTGGCTGGTGCTGGGCTTCTGAGTGCTGCCCTCTAGGCCCTTGGTAAAATCGTCTGAAGGGTAGATTTCTGCCCTCCGGGAGTAGCCAAGAGGCTTGTGAACCCGTGACCTGGAGGGTGATGGAGTGGCCTGGAGGAGGAGGTGGCTGTTGGGTTGGGAGCTGACTGAACTTGAGGCAGAGGCAGGGAAAGAGTGGGCAAGACCTGGAGATGGGAGGGTGAAGGGGAAACCGGGTGAGGCTGGAGTTGAAGAGCTCATTCAGGTTCAGAGTGTCTTTAAGCCCAGGGACCTGTGCAACTCTGCTGGTCTGGGATTGGTTCTGTTGGCAGCGTGGGGTGGGGTGAGGTGGGCTAACAAGCAAGATGATAGGGCTGTTGTGAGGGTCCTGATTCTGTTAATCCGTGGCTCTTGTGAGCATTTTGCATTTGAACAGGGATTTCGGTAAGGGAACAAAAGGAACTGGAATAATAGTCCTGCTGGGGTTTGAAGGATCAGTAGCTTTTCCAGAAGCAGGAGGCTTATTTCCTGTTCCGGGTCTTCTGGAGTTTGTGTGGGCTCAGCCCTACCCTGAGTCCTGTCCACTGACCCAGGTGCAGGCCTTGAGGTCTGGGTAGAAGGCAGACCAGCTCAGAGTCCTGTGCAGAGTTTGTGGTTGGGTCATTGCCTTTTCCACAACTGGAGTGTGTGTAGATGGCTTCCTTCACCCCCACCCCATGCTCTGGCCCCCCTCAGAGTCTGGAAGGAATATCCCAGAGCCTTCACTGCCCTGCCTGGAAAAGCTGCTTCCTGAGCCGTTTCTTTGGCAACGGGTAGTTCCATTGGGTCTGAGACAGAGGGTTCACCCACAGCCCCCTCCCTCTGCTGGGAAGCTAGGACAACTGTGGTCAGCAGTAGCAGGTGCCAGGCTTGTTACCGAAGGCTTAGTGGCCTCTTCTCCATTTCACAGGTGAGGAAACTGAGGCTCAGAGGTAGATCTTTGCTCAAGATCTCAGTGCTGTCCTGCGCAGGGGTGTTTTGGAGTGGTGGGGTCCCAGGCCCAGTGCCTGTCCTCCAGTGCCTGTCCTCCCTCCTGATCAGGGAGGGCTGCATGGAGGAGGCAGCAAGCTCCTTCCACATCAGACCCCTCTGCTTCCCTGCGAGTTGCTGTGGTGGGGGAAGGGAAGGTAGGTGGGAAGCCCCCAGTCCTTCAGAAGGAGAATCCCTTCACCTGGGATGGAACTGACCTCCAGAACCACTCTCACTGTTCCTTAGCGACACCTGGTCGTAGCCACTGATTTACCACTCCCTACCTGTCTAGTACAGAAAGAACATGAGATGGGGATGATACAGAGCCATGTAAGAAGAGTTCATAGATACTTCGAAAAGTTGCTAATTGGAAGGGAGGAATTGACTTTAAAGGTAGGTTAAAAAATAACCAAGAAGCCAGATGTGGTGCCACGGGGCTCTAGTTCCAGCATGTGGGAGACTGAGACAGGATTGTGAAGCCAAGGCCAGCCTGGACTACATATGGAGATCTTGTCTCAAAAACAGACAAACTCAGGTGTGGTAATGCGGGCCTGTAATCTCAGCACTTGGGAGACCGAGGAAGAGGATCGATGTAAGTTGGAGGCCAGTTTAAGAGTGTTGGTTCATTGCTGAGCTTCCAAGTTGCCTTAGTAAAAGGAAGCAGGCTATTTAGATCTAGAGACATGTGTCTGATCCTAACACCTGATTTCTTCTTGCTTTCCGTTCTTTATGAGGTGGTGGAAGAATGTTTTGGGTTGTGTAGTTAATTGGTGCTTGGGGAAGATCCTTAGGCCTTTTAGGATAAGTACCAACTAAATGCTAGAGAGTTACACATTTGTTGCTGATTTTTTTGATTCTCCCCAAACTGTGGGGAGAAGGGTGATCTATGCTAGGATTAAAGGCATGTGCCATCACTCTTAGCTTGATTCTTGGGCTCTTAGGCAAGTGTAAGATGTTAAAGAGCAGTATCCTCATGAAGCTTGAATGCTTCCAGGACTGGAAGCTCAGTCCTTCGCAGGCTGCCTGCTCCATCCTTAAGCACTTAAGAATGTTAGGAGAGTTCCTAAGGCCAGCCCCCCTCCAGCCAGGGGACAGGACAGTCTGAATCCACTCCCATCTCCCAGAGGGGCTGCCTAGGTTATTAACCTCTGTAGGGTGTGAAAGGTCTCCATCGTTTTGGGATTGCATGTTGGGGATGCACATGGCTTTCCTTAGTGTTGAGACCCATGGGTGGCTCTGTGTCTTTGAGCACCACCATGGGTTCCCTGCCTGCCTCTGAACAGCTCCCTGTGGGGGTGGGGGAGCAGGGAGTGATGTAGTGGGTTTGGGAATTTGCATGTAATTAGGTAATGACTGCAAATACATTATCCTTAAAAAACAAAAACCTATTCTTTTTTTTTTTTTTTTTTGTGGAACCAAGGATTGAACTCAGGCCCTTGTGCTTGCCAGAGAAGTGTTTATTCTACTGAGCCATCTCCCCGGCCCCTAAAAAAACAAAAACCTAGAAAGACAAAGCTAAAGTTGTATTTGGATCATCCTTTATGCAGGGACAGCTATGTTGGAGGGTTGTCAGTCCTGTGCATTTTTGGGGGCGGTTGTTGAGGATTGGGGGACTTCTGTTTTGCTTTTTGAGACAGGGTCTCTTTTTGTAGTTTATGCTGGCCTTAAATTTGCTTTTGTAGCCAAGAGTGGCCTCAAACTTACGGTGATCCTCTTGCCTCAGACTCCTGAGTGCTGGGATTACAGGTGTGTGCCACCACATCTGGCTTAGGTTTGGATTTTAGAGACAGAGTCTCACCATATAGAGCTGGCCTCGAACTTGCACTTACTATTGAGCCCAAGTGGGGCTCAAACTTGTGATCCTCTTTCTCTTCTTCCTCCTCTTCCTCCCCCTCTTTCCCCTCCCCTCCTCTTCCTCCTTCCCCTCCTTCCCCTCCTTCTCCTTCTTCTTCTCCTTCTCCTTCCTCCTTTCTTCTTTCTTCTTCTTTTATTGGTATGGGAGTTTGAACTCAGGCCCTTGCGCTTGCCAGGCAGGCGCTTATGCAGCTGAGCTATATCCCCGGCCCTAACTTGTGATCCTGTGCCTCAGCCTCCTGAGTGCTTGGATGTGCACCACTCCACGTGGTCTTTTCTGTACACTCTAAAAATTTTATTCTGTATCCATTGTTCAACAAGTTGCTTTCTTCACATCCCATGCATCCAAACTCTCTTCCTAACAGAACAGCCAAGCCTTCTTTTCAGCCCTGGTAGAGTATTCTATAGGGTCACTAGAGCCCCAGCTCATTCAGCCCAATCCTGATTTTTCCAGAGGACTTGTGTTTTTTATTTTTTCGTGTTTCTGGTGTAGAACCTATGGCCTTGGGCATGCAAGGCAAGTGTTTGCTCTACCACTGAGCTATAGCCCCAACTCTATTTTATTTTTGTTTCAAGATAAGGTCTCATGCAGTTGTTCTGGCTGACCTCAAACTTGAGGTCCTCCTGCCTCAGCCTCTGTAGTAGCTGGGAATACAGGCATGTTCTATTGCACCTATGTCTCCCTTGTAT